ATGGTGTTGAGCGTAGGTGTTCAATAAACTTCGAGACTTTACAATAGAACAATCTAATAAGAATTTCCATTAGTCATATGATAATAAATCTCAAATACCAATATTTATATAAATAAATGTAACTAAAAAAAATTAGGTAATATTTTATCAAAAGGTGGGCGATTGGTTCTCACTCATGAAACACAATAGGCTTTATTTTTTTATTTTTATTTTCGATGTATTATAAATGTTAACATTGGACAAACCAAACATTTCTTAATGCCATTTAAAAATTATTACTTGAGAATAGGTAGGATACGTGGATGCGGTGGGTTAATTCTCTTCAAGTTCATATTGAAAGAATAATATATAAGCGTATGCACACGTACTAGTCCATAAAAAAGCAAGGGCCAATCAACACTTTAGAAAAATAAAAAAAAATAACAAGGGCCAATCAACACTTTAGAAAAGAAAACTAGCCAGGGCAAACAAAAGAAAAAAAAAGATTTAGAAAATCACCGATAATTATGGTGATGCAAATGCTTGTATTTATAATAAAACTGAATTGCTCAAAATTACAATAAATATATTAATAGGATCAATTAGCCCTATTAAATTTATTTCAAATTTGAAATTTCAAAAATAAGAATAATTCAACTAATTTAATTTAATCAATTAATCCTATTACCCCTCATCCATCAAGCGTTGTGTGGGATTACGACATACCCAAAAGCTTGGACCAAAGGAACTCCAAAAAAAGGCAAGGAGTACTCTCTATGAAAATATCAACTAACGGAAGATGAGAAGGCACAAAACTAGTGACTAACTTTCAAAGAGAGACAAAGCTCACGAACAAAGTGACAGTCAAAATCAATGTACTTAGCTCCTTTTTGCCCATTGAATTTTGACTTAGGAATATATCGCTCTTACTACTAAAAGAGTAGGTTGAGAGAGCAAATTGTTACAAAGCTCACGAAGGATATTCATCACTCAAACCAATTCGGAAGCTGCATTCTTCAAGCCCGGTACTTAGATTCAAAACTAGAGCAAACAACTAAAGATTGTTTCTTTGTGCTCCAAGATACAAGGTTACTACCATGCAAGATGGAGTACCTATTCGTATAAAATGGTGTCTCACTTTAATGTGCCTAATCAGGATTAGAGTGTCCGATGATCAACGAGTTAGAACTCATAGTAAAGGGAAAGACCAAAGCTCAAAGTACCCTTAACATATCTATGGATATGCTTCACGGTAAAAAATGATCATATGCTGGCGATTCCAGCAAAATGTCTAACTGAGCTAACTGCATATGAATGGTCAAAATAATTGATGCTCGGATATTGAAGACCACCAACGAGAGACTAGTATAATGTAGGATCATGAAATGAAACACCACAACTGACAACAAATTCTCGGGCAACCAAAGTGGTAGAGACTAAATAACTTAAATATCCAAGATCCTTAATAGTGAACTCGCATTGCATATGATAAAAAAAAGAAGTCAATAGTGATTCATTTGTGACACCCCAACCTACAAGCCACGCTAGCCAGGCGTGTGAGGATTAGACTGGCCTCACCCTTTTCTCCTCACTCACGTGCACCCTGTGAGACTTCTCAAGTGGTCACCTATCCTCAAATTACTTTAGGACAAGCAAGCTTAACTCTAGAGTTGTTTTAGTAGAGCTTCCAAAAAAAAAATGTGCACATTGTTGACATGAGTAGTCTATTCAATCCACTTAATCTCTATTCACTCTTGGATGGCCTGACACATGCTCATCCATATACACGAGATTTGGCCTAGCGCAAGTCTAACTCCGAGGGTGGATGGCGGCTCAAGATCAGCCTCATGAAAACCTTGTATTCCCTGAGGAGGTTCTACACATCCTCTCCCATTTAAGAATGCAATGTCCATGTTACGCCCCAAGGATCATCAACTACTAGGCCCCTCAACAGTCAGGTCAATGACTGTGGGCTGTCGCAAGTCGGCTCTGATACCAATTGTGACATCCCAGCCCACAAGCCATGCTGACTGGATCTGTGAGGATTAGACTGGCCCCACAGGTCAATACGAGTCTTTTCAACACGCTTTTGTCCTCACTTACACGCATCCTGTGAGACTTTCCATTGGGTCACCCATACTTAAATTACTCTAGGACAAGCATGCTTAAATCTAGAGTTCCTTCAATAGGGCTTTTGAAAAGGAATGTGCATATTGTTGACATAAGTAGTCTATAAAATTCACTTAATTTCTATTCACTCTTGAATGGCTTGTCACCGGCTCAAAGTAAAATAAAGAGGGATCAGAACGAATTTGAAAAAGTCAAAACTAGTGAGATAGGAGCTAAACCTTTGGAACCAAGCAAGAGGTGCCTGACGAAGGTTGTATAGAGCTTTCTTTAAATGAAAAATATGATTAGGGGAACGGGAGTAAAAAATACTTGAGGTTGTGCCATAAATACTAGTTTTTCAAATAACACCATTTAGAAATGCATTTTTAACATGTAGTTGATGAAATGGCCAACTATGCGGAACATAGAGCGCTTCAATGGTGTGAACGGTTGCAGCCTTACTAACTGAACTAAATGTGTGATGAAGTTAGTACAAGAAATCTGGGTAAAGCCCTAGGAAACATATGGGCTTTGTGTCTTTCAATTTATCAATCGGTATTAAACTTCATACGGAAGACCCATGTTGAACTGAAAATATTAGTACCAAATGGACGTGGTACTAGATCCTATTTACTTGAATCAAAGTGCATCAATTTTCTCTTGCATGGTTGTAAGCCATTTTAGGTGTTTAGCAACACTATTAAAACCATGAGGTGTAGATGTAACAAAAAGGGCGGATAACAGAGATATAGATGCCAAACAATCATATAACAAGGCTTGAAGATGCTTGGCCAGCTCCAAGTACTCATAAGGTGTTGCTGGGTTCCAAGATGTGGCACAACATGATCAATCAGAGAATATAGAGCAATAGGTGTCCCATGAAGATCATCTTGAATATAAGCTGCTAGGCCAAGTGGGACTAACGGCAGAGACTCGTTATGATCAGCTAGGATAGGTGCTAAGCCACGTACAACGGCACGATCAGGAGTATGATTATATGGCTGAGAGATAGATTATGGACCTGATATGTCGAGGAATATTGAAACAATCAAATATGAAATTGGAGCGGAAGACGTCTCTTGAGATAACGGAAAACAAAACTCATCAAATTGGGCATGTCGAGTAGTAAAGATCTTAGTTGAAGCAAGATCAAAACAACAAAAGTCCTTGTAGATGCTACTATAGCCAAGGAAAACACATGGTTGAGTGCGAGGCTTCAACTTGTGAGCAACATAGTCCCAAACATTTGGGAACACCCGGCACCCAAATGACTTCTCCAATAATTTGGAGCATAGCCAAAAATAATTGAAAAGGGGACGAATCATGTAATATTGAAGAAGGAAGCTTATTGTTTATGTAAATAGTAGTTGCAAATGCCTCAAACCAAAGGGAAGTAGGAGCATGAGCATGAGCAAGAACAACATAGATAAACTAGATGATACTTATGTTCAGCTCTACCGTTCTACTGAGGAGTGAGTGTAAGGACAAGATATATGGTGATGCATGTCATTGAATGGCATAAATTCATAAAATTTAGCATTTACAAACTTCGTGCCCTCATCACTCGGAAATACTTTAATTTTACGATCAAATTGATTGCAAACAAAGGTATCAAATTGACCAGAAAACCATAAAACTCATATTTGGCCCTTAACGGATAAATCCAACAAAACTAAGAAAAATCATAAATAAAGAAAACATAGTATGAAACCATAAGAAGTAGCCATGGATGTTGGACCCATAAATCATAGTGTATCAAATCTAAAACATTAATATAAGCGACATTGTTCATTCAAAAGAGAAATAATAAAACCGAATGTCTCAAAATACAACAAGGATATTATTGGGATTAATTAACTAATTCATCCTATTACATATATTTTAAATTTGAAATTTCAAATATAAAACCAATTCAGCTCATTTAATTAAATCAATTAATCCTATTTGCCAATCAACAAAATAGATAGGCCTAATATAAGCCCTTTATTTATGAATGGACAGAACTTCGAAACAAGCCCTGCCATTCGACAAAGGATATCGATTGTGATGTAATTAATATTTGTTAGACCTGAGTATAGGATATGCAATAATTCTGCCTGCCTCGTCTGTTTGGCTCTGTGTCGTTTTATTACTCACTTACTGTTTACAAACATAATCCAAAATTGATCTTGGAAATTCATGCAATTTAATTTGCTATCTTCTTTTTTTTGTCATTTTATGCCCTTACTCGGACTTGTACCAAATTTGGAGGGCTCGTTTGATATTGTTCAACCATTTGGGGTGGTTTAAAAACCTTAAAATCGTGTTTTTCTTTTTGTATTTTTTGTTTGCAAATTCTCAGGTTTATTTTTTATTTTAAACTAAAATATGCATCGTATATTCTGTCTAATTATTAATAAAAAAATATATTATGTTTTCTAAACAAATCATAATCAATTACTATTTAAACAAAATTTCAATCTAAAATCTAAATTCAAATAAAAACTAGTCAGAACCTCTTGGGTTTTCTTTTGGCATTTTATGTTTCTTAATCTATAGATTGATGGAAATTTTGATCTTGATCTAGCTCAATTGGTCCCTCGTAATACAAGTTGGTCAATTCCTTAGATTGGTCCACTGGATTCGATTCAAACCCTTTATACTAATTAAATTTGTATCTTATTTCTTTACGTGATATTGTTCGATAAAGCCCAACAATCGAGATATAAATTTACAACATAAACTTTTAGATGTTTTCCTTTGTATTCAGTTTCCGTTATTATTAGTAGAATTAGGTTCGATCTCTAATCAATAATTTCTCTTCAATGGGTTATTCCAATTTGTGCTGTGGACCACCAAAAAGAAAAAAAAAAAAAAACAATGAATGCAAAAAAAAAAAAAACAATCAAAAACCAAAATAACAATGAAAAGAAAAACAATGAATGCACAAGCATTATTTCAACCATTGATTGAATTACATACAACAAACAAAGCAAATGAAAATATACAATATGCCTAGTAATCATAAAACAACAAACTCTGAAACACAATGAAATCTATGAGTGGAATCTCCAAATTATACAATCTAATAGATACATTCATTCATTCATTCGTTCACCAATTTATTGTTCGAAAATAATTTGGTGAAATCTGACATACGGCTAAATTTTAAAACACAAAATCCGAGCCTCGCATAGCAAGCGATTTCCTTGAAGCGAATTCAGCCCTAACATTTATAGGATGACTTGGCCCTAAAAGTGGTGATTTCTCTTGAGCATCCTCGGCGGGGTCAACTGATCATACGATCTCCTGAAGGGGCTGCAAGAGCAACATCCGAAGTCGCCGTGATGGTGCCGGAGAAGATCATCGCCGGCATCCATTGCAGCCAGTACCTTGTAAAATAAATCGACATCGCAAGGGAGGTGCAAAGGGCCTTCATTTCTGAACCCATACTCGGATTCTGCGTCTTCTAGAAGCATCTTGAACAAAGGGTGATTGGCACACTCAGTTTTGATGACAAACCTCTCCTTCTCAGGCCCTACACACACCAAGAAACAACCTGCACTTGGGTTTACACGGCTCTTGCTGCCATTGCCCAATCCATAGAGAAAACCCTTAAGTTTCTTCACCACACCCACACTGCTGTTCTTCTTCTTCCTGTTCCTGTACCTGTACCTGTGTTCTTCCACTTCCATTCACGTACACACGAACTGCTGTAATTTCTTGTAGTGAAATAAGAATTGGATGGAGATCGATCAACCCCTATCGTATGCTGCGTCGGACATAGATTCGACTATCGGCTTTACTAGATTGCTCATGTTGAATACAGGGAGGAGAAAATCAGGTATTTCTTGATTTAGGAGAGATCATTTTGCACTCAAGGGTTATCGTTTACAAGATTAAGAAAACCAACAGTTGCGAATTTGTGCATAAATAGAATCTGTAGACAATTTGCACAGGGAAGGCAGAACTAATACAGGCTCCTTTGTAATAACTGCTGAGCCAAAATTGTCAACGCCGAATTGGAACAAATACATGTATAGTATTACGCACTTAGGACAAATTAAAAAGATGGCTATTATAGTCAACGCCTAAAGAGAAGTGTACAAATAGCTAACGATCATTTATTAACCTAAAAACCAATTGGCGTCTGTACATAGAATAACTGCCTTTAGTATTATTAAGTTTTTTTTTTTACTAAGTGAACACAACACAAATACTATTTGTAAGTTTTTACCTTGCGTGTTCGTTGCGTTGAAAATTTATAATCCGATAAGAATCAAAGACTTTTTTTTTTTATTTTTTAGAATTTAGAGTAATTAAATTCTGATTTTTACCAAACACAATACCTAAACATTTAATAGTAACATAATTAGAGAAAAAGAAAATTATAAATTACAAGAATTAAAAAGAAATATAAATTTTGAGTGAAATGCTAATTCTGCCTTTACAATCATTATATCGAATTTATTTATAAAATCTAAATGATATTTACAGATTGATTGACACCTTGTCACTAATTGACTAATAAAAAAAAAGGGACACAAATGTTCATCCTAGGAATAATCTCCAAACTTAATATATTTACTTTCTTAATAATTTGGGATTTTATTCAAAATACCCAAATTAAATAATCCTATAATCTTGGTAAAAAAATTCTGATATTTTGTTAATATAATCCAAGATGTCAATAATCAAGATTTTAGATTTATATATTGAAGATATGTTCGAATATCTAGAATCAAGATGCAATTATGTATTTGTGGCTTACAATTAAATTTCTTATTCTCCTCCTTCAATAATTTAGAGTTTGCAAACTTTCTATGATTCGTATCACTTCCGAGCAACTGATGTGCGCATTTTCTTGTCCACGTACAAATGATTCTATCCATCCGTGTATACGCGTCTGTTCACGTATGGTGCTACCCTATCTGTCCATGTATGAATAAAATTGTCTACCCATCGTTTCGTGCAATGACATATGCATCATTTTATAGGTCGACGTGCACACCATTCCTATCCGACGATGTATGCAATGAGAGCCTATTTTTAGCATGAGCAACCTGAGCAATTGCTCATGACCTCTATTTCAAAATGGTCAATTTTTATAAAATTTGGCTCATTATTATTAAATATATTAAAACTTAATTTAGAGTTTATCCTATATTTTTCTCAATAATTACTCAATATATTTAAATTTTAAAATTAAATTCTAATTAGAATTTTTCTAAAATTAATTAAATCTTTTTTGCCTTTAGAATTTGTAGATATTTTTAAAGTCCATTATTATTATTATATATATATTAAAATTTAATTTAAATTTTATGTCATATTTTTCCTACAATTACAAATCCATATCTAATGTTAATAAACTCTAACCAGAATTTTTCTAAAATTAATACTAAATCCAATTTCAATTTTAGTAAACTCTAACCAAGGTTTTTTTTCTAAAACTAATTTTATATTCCTCCGCATTTAGAATTTGTAGTTATTATTATTGAGTTATTGGCCTTGTAATAGTCAATATATTGTCAAGTTTTATAATAGTCAATATATGTATTACAAACCAGGTCCGACAAATCACCTCACACAAGCAGGTCATCCCTTGCGGAATTCACCACTCTCTCGGTCTCAAGTTACAAATATGGTCAAAATTTGCTTTTCCTCTTCCAGATCCTTCATCGAGGACCTTTCTACCAATTGCTACTTTATTTTTGAAATCTCTTGAGAGCAAGACCCTAACAATAACATGTCATCCATGTTTAATACTAGTATTATATATAAACTTTCAAAACTCTTAATGTAGCAACAATGGTTGGCACTGCATCATCCGAAACCAATCTCATTCATAAAGACGTTAAGCTTTTTGTACCACCTTTTGGTGCTTTTTAAATACCATACAAGCTTTTTCTTTAATCTACATACTAGGTACCTTGTCCTTCACCCACATACCCTTCTTGTTGCATTATGTAAATCTTTTCATCCAGGTCGCTATAAAAAAATATTGAAATTCTCGGATACTATCATTCTTAAGACCAATTAAACGTTGTTTGATTCACAACATGTTTTAACACATTGATGTAATTGATATCGTATATCAACTCAAATCCTTTCCCAACCATCGTAGTCTTATACTACTTACTCCCATATGTCTCTACTTTAGTTTGATAATCCATTTGTTAAGCTATGCTTTTTTTGTCCTCTATAAGTTAAATCAACTTCCATGTTTGGTTGGTCTTTTGAGAATTCATCTCATCATCGAAAGCAATTTTTCATTTTCCAGTTTCCTCACTATATTTGGCTTCTACAAAAATATTCCATTTTGCTATTATCAAACAAAAATAAATAATGAAGTGTAGGTAAGGGCCTCTCTAGCGCATAATGATGTCTCTTGGATGTTTTCACTGCTATTGGTAAGGTGTTAACCATTTCTATTAAGATCTTAGGACTTTTAGTAATAAGGGAGGACGACTCAAAATCAATAGCAACCACACTTCTATCATTCGGAATATGGTTGCTTGAGCTCGTGTTGGAAATATAAAACTTAATCTTCTTTGGATTCTTTCCACTTTCATTAATCAATCTATCTTTGTAACAAACCTGTTCATAAAAAATTACACAACTAACACATATGGTTTTGTGATTAACTTCGTACTAAAATTTGTACCTGATATTCTTCATTTCCAAAGCCAATGAATGTGCACCTCATGACATTTTCAAGTAATATTTTCTCAGGATCAAGCATTACATATGCAGTGCAACCGAAGGTCCGTAAAAATAAAATATTTACTAGTTTACCAATCCGCACCTCCTCTACAATCTCATTAGTCATCGGTAATAATGTACCTCTATTGTTTACGAATGTCACCGTATTAATCGCATTAGCCCGAACAACTTTGGCAATCCACACCTCATTTGCATGCATCTTGCCCTCTCATTCAAAATGCGATTTATCATTTCGGCCACTCCATTTTGCTACGGTGTTCTCGGCATACTATTTTTTTTTTTATTGGAATTCCCTTTTCTGTGTAGTACTTTTTAAAATTGTTGAACATACTTGCCACTGTTATCTAACCTTCTAAATTTAACTCCCAGTTCTATTTCATTTTACACAAGTTCTTTCTATAATTTGAATGTGTTGAAAGCACCAAATTTATATTTATGGAAATATACCCCTATCCTTCTTATAGAATCATCAATAAACATCATATAGCATTACGAGCCTCCAAAGGATGCAGTCCTCACATATCCCAAAATTGATAGCCTTGAGATCCTAAATCTCCAATTTGAAATAAGCTTCTTCATCCCCTATTCACTAATGCTCCTGACACATGAATGCCACAAATCTACATAGTTCTTCATGGCCACATAATTGATGTTGTCATGTATGTTGATCACTATGTAAAGAATGTTAAGCTTTCATTGTTTGAGCTTCCACCATTCTACCTTCATTACCTTCCATGTCTTAAGTCCGAAAACAATAAGTAACCATTGTCATCCTATTGGCCCACTAAAATCAAATTTTATTTCAGTTTCAGAATATATATCACATCATTTAATCATTGTTTGCTTCTACTCGGTTTTTTGACCATCCTTTTTCCTTGGGCTGACTGATTCCATAATTCCAGAATTACTGCATCAATAGAACGACGTGTCAAAGACCAAGACTCATAACTCCAATGGACTGTTGACCCTCAAAATCACTGCATCAGATATTTCTTCCGTTGCGTTTTCCAAATTATTATACTTCTTTGGCGCATTGAACTATCATTTATGTTATGTTCGATTGAAGATCAAATATACCACCAGACTTCGTTTTTTCTTGTCTCCTCACCCCCGCCGTTTTTTTTTTTTTTTTTGCCTTTATTTTGACCTTGATATGTGTTCGACTATGTGCACCCCCATCATATGCCTCTACTTTCTCTCTTTTTTTTTTATTATTTTTCAAATCTTGATTATAGGAGCTCTAGAATAGCAAATAGACATGTAGTTTAATTGACCTCAAGTATAACAGGGACCGTCGGAGCTAACGTGGACGCCCGTGTGGACATCCTATAATTTACGCATGTTTTTTATTTTAATATTCATTTTGTACAATGATCCAATTGGAGCAAATTGATTGAAAATTCCAATTGGACCCATGTCAAAAAATTGATCAACTATTAGACATTTCTTAACCACAAAACCCCTAAGGCATCTCTATTTCTTCTAACATTAATCTCAAATCAAATTCTTCATTTTGTCAAACCCTAATCCTGAACTCAAATCCCTCTGTTTCATCTTCATGTTTGCAAGCGAAGGAGCGATCTTCCCCCATCATGTCCAACTCTCCTCCTGGTATATACAAGTATTTGTTTAGGGTTTGATAATGTATGATTTACTTTGCGCCTTGCGTCTTTGAGTGTTTATTTTGTTTAGAAACCCGACAACATAGATTGGTAAAAAATGACATTTCTTTAAAGAAATTTTTTTCGTAAAGTTTGAAGCAATGTTGAACTCACTATAGTAGTTATGTTGTGCTTTAGTTTTGGATTTTTTTTCGCTACTTTATCTCTCTCATTCCTGGTGTTTTTTCATATGTCTAAGGTACTGGAGGAGGAATGGGTACCCTGAATCACAACTAGCTGCCATCAATTTGTATTTTGTAGGTAAAATCTTAACTCCTTCACACAAATATGTGGGTGGATATGTGCTACTTTTGAGCGAGTTAAAGTTGATTCGATTAACATTAAAACCTTTCAATCATTACCTACTTATTGTGGAATTCTATATGAATTGGAAACTTTATTTTTCATCTTCAAGGATGGTGTTTTTACAAGTCTTGTAGGTGACTTGGGTATTGCGCATTATGTAAAGGAGAGAATGAACGCGGGGATAGATGAGAACATTACTTTCTTTTTTAAGAACCAGTGGGTAGATGATAATGAGATCCAATTGTT